ACTATGGAAGGACCCTGAGATGCTGGCTAATTAGAATCTGAACTACATGGTTATAGATGCTTGTTTTACTTTTGTTTATACTTTTAAAATGTGTTATTCTTTTCTATGTTTTATTGCCAAGTAAATTTGTTTCACCTCAGGGCAGCAGAAACAAACCCCACTTTATTCTGGGTAGTCATGATGGTGCTGTAATGTAAGCATGTTAATAATAATAATAATAATAATAATAATAATAATAATATTTTATTGTTTCTACCCTGCCCATCTGGGTGGCCACTCTGGGCAGCTCCCAACAGAATATTAAAGGTAAAGATAAAGGGACCCCTGACCGTTAGGTCCAGTCGGGGCTCATCCCGCTTTATTGGCTGAGGGAGCCGGCATACAGCTTTCAGGTCATGTGGCCAGCATGACTAAGCCGCTTCTGGCGAACCAGAGCATCGCATGGAAACGCCGTTTACCTTCCCGCCGGAGCAGTACCTATTTATCTACTTGCACTTGACGTGCTTTCGAACTGCTAGGTTGGCAGGAGCAGGGACCGAGCAACGGGAGCTCACCCCGTTGTGGGGATTCGAACTGCCGACCTTCTGATCGGCAAGTCCTAGGCTCTGTGGTTTAACCCACAGTGCCACCCGCATCCAGAATATTAAAAACATGATAAAACATCAAACATTAAAAACTTCTGTAAACAGGGCTGCCTTCAGATGTCTTCTAAAAGTCAGATACCGGTAGTTGTTTATTTCTTTGACCTCTGCTGGGAGGGTGTTCCACAGGGCAGGCGCCACTACCGAGAAGGCCCTCTGCCTGGTTCCCTGTAACTTGGCTTCTCGCAGCGAGAGAACTGCCAGAAGGCCCTTGGCGCTGGACCTCAGTGTCTGGGCAGAACAATGGGGATGGAGACGCTCCTTCAGGTATACTGGACCAAGGCCATTTAGGGCTTTAAGGGTCAGCACCAACACTATGAATTGTGCTCAAAAATCTACTGGAACACATGCTTCAGAGATTGACTGTGTGAGGGACAGCAGCTATGCTAGCTTCCCAGCAGGTGGGTCCCTGTAGCTTATGAACGGGGGGAGCAAAGAGTCTGGAGCTTCTGGTACATTTGCTGGGCAAACTGATAATAATGGACTTAAGGGTATACGCCTCGATCTCAGCCGTCGCACTCGATGATGCTGGGAAGACTCTATCAAAAGCCATCATCTCTGCTAGAATGTAGGGTGTTAGGCCTGATGGTGGCTTGTTACAGGTACAGCACCCCCTGCAAGTTTCCTGTTTCTGAGGACTCTGGAGTTTCATATCAAGCTACCCTTTTAACATCAAGTGATAGAGATAATTAATTATATTTACAGGAGAACAATTGAACACTATTTCTTCTTATCTCCTAGAAACAATCAGTTACACTTCTGCTTTAAACTGAAAAGCCAAACAAGTATTATGTGTTATGTGGCTATCTTTTCCCTTCGGCTACTGTGATAACTTCCTTGTATTAATGATTCTTAATGATGAAAAATTACTGACACTTTCTGACCACCTCGCTTGGAATAAACAATATATCAAAATTGTTTTCCCAAGGCCAGAAAGTGAATTCCTGGGAACTTGTCAACGGCTGCTTCTTCCTTCCTCAACCTTCTATTTTTAGATTGTAACCTCCACCCCAATATTTCTAATCTCCCTACCTCCTTTATTCCTCACCTGACTTCCACCTCCTCTACTGCTTCACAATGGCTGTGTATCAAAATCATAAAGAATATTCTCCTGAATACTGCCAGGCTCCTCCTGGTATCTATAGCTAACGCTACCTTGGTCGTAGCAACTTCAGAGGTAAAAAAGATATATATTTCCCTGTCAGCTTGTGATTTTCTTTTTTTAAAAAAAGGTTATCAGGAAAATTCTACAGCATTTTTGTGGAAATTTCTGCTACTATACACATTTTTATACACAGTTTCACATAATGTACACCTTTTTACAAGGCTATTTCCTTAAATATAATGCATTTTAATATTATTTCCACTTATATATGCATTTATATGCACACTTAAATATATACAATTTGTGCGCCTTACTTGGCTGGAGAGTGCCATTGCAAAAGCCAGGTAAGTGGGAATTCTGAAGGATGGCTATGCTTTTGTTCACACATGGTTACGGAAACTGGGTAAGTTTTCCTTAAATGTGAATTGAGTTGCATTTCTCACCTGTCCTTAGGCAGTTGATTCTGTCAGAAACATAAGCCTGGCTCATGGATGGGAAATATAGTCCAACTGTTGTTGGACTATAACTTCCACCCTTCTTAACTGTTGCCTATGCAGGCTGGGGGAATCCATCAACATCCAGAGAGTTTCCCCACCTCCGCTCGAAGTGGAACTTCAAAGGACTATTTGTACATAAGGCTGCCTCTGAAGACAGTTTGGAAGCTTCAGCTGGTGCAGAATTCGGTGGCTCAGGACTGCAATACCCCAAGGACCATCTTTCTCCATATGAACCATCCCAGACCCTGAGATCATCCTCTGAGGCCCTTCTTTGCAGGCCTACTCCATGAGAGGTCTGGAGGGTGGCAACACGAGAATGGGCCTTTTTCTGCAGTGGCGCCCCAGGGAGGTTCGCCTGGTGCCTTCATTATATATTTTTAGGTGCCAGGCGAAAGTGTTCCTCTTCAACCAGGCCTTTGGCTGATTAATAGTCTATGGGAAGAGGTTGTGCTGAATGATCTGTCTATGAGGAGAGCAGGCAAAAAACCCTTCAGTAAGACCATGATGATTGAGAGCAAATGGCATGAAGAAAGCAGCCTAGGATAATGTGAAAATTTGGATAGAGGCTGTTGCAAAAATGAGCACCCACCTTCATATATTTACATGCATGTTGAAGGTAAGCAGGGCTCCTCTTGTTTTGACCCTGAGAGCATACCCTCTTGAGTCTCCTGTGCAGAAATTAATTAGAGTACTTGCTTCTCCCCACTCTCCTAATCTTTTACTTGTTTAATTCAAAAGCTGACTTGCTGCTGTGTCGCATGCATTAAATTAAAATTCAGAAGCTCCTAGGAAGAGAAATAATGTTGGGGCAGCCATTTCTTTTTTTTCTGTGCAGTGTCCCTTGGAAAGGAAATGGAAGGGACATTGTTTCTCTTCCTATTGGTTTTTTTTTGACGTTTCAATTGGCAGCAAGCAACAGCGAACCTGAGCCAGCCGTGGAAGTTCAGTTCAGCTGTCTGCTTGCCTTTGCTGAATTTAAAAGAAAAAAGGCACCTTCTCTCCCCCCTGTCTGGCCCCAACTGAGTCCTTGTGCTCAGCTCCCCCACAGTTACAACTGTTGGCAGATTCAGGGTTGGGTGCGAAAGGCACAGGCCACCTTCCAATGAAAACCCTGACATTTGCATGAAGAAAAACATGTCTTTAGAGTGACTAAAACGAATAATGGGAATGGCTATTGGAATGCCCTGGTTCCTTCCAAATGGCTATAGGAATGCCGTGAATTTCTGAATGAAGATTAGAATGTGTTACACCAAGGGTGATTGATGGCTTATGCTTTTTGTGTGTGCCTAAGGGCCATCTCCAAAAGTCAAAATTTAAAAGCCTTACCCTTCCAAATGGCCTGAAAAGAACTATGGTGGACTGGTCTCAAATTAGAGGAAAACAATTAGAGGAAAAATGGAGGGTTCCTCCCAATGTTCTTTTTATTGCACATTTATAATGATTTTTTTTTTGGCTCACGATACTATCAGAGGAGTCATCCACAATCCTGCTTTTAGTACTGTTTGCACCTGCAAGGATTTTGGGGCTGCCACACTGTTTCATTTCCAATCAGTGCATATCCTGTAACATCCTGCTAACCCTGTAAATTTCTATACCACAAATGTTCTCGTTTGTTTTTGTTCCGTTTTTGTTGCGCCACAACCTCTCCAGACAGCAATAATGTGGTGGCATTGGGCAAACATTGTGGCATGAACTAAAGCAGAATAAATCCACCACAAATTCACTGTCATTGTGGCAAAAACTTGTTGCAGATTCCCTCGCAATAAAACACCAGCCTGGAGGGTCCTGGGTGGCTTGCCTATCACCATCTATTGCAAAATGTTTTAATTAGCATTATAAAAGCATGACTTGTCATTGGACACATATTTGGCCCATCAAGATTATGGTGCCGTAAAGTGATCACTATACAAGGCAGAGAGGTTTTATCCATAAGGAGCAGAAGCTTGAGTGGACACTCTGCAAGATTTTTCAAAATGACAGTTCTTATTCCTTAACACTTCTCACTTCGGCCATACACAAGGACCAAAACAGACAAAGAAGAAACTGCATGTTTAAAAGATGTAAGTTGCCTTTATTTTGATGCTCAAGTGAACTCATTAGAAGAGATGGCATCGAGTGATCTGTGTATGTGCATCACATCAAAAATTGATTACCTCCATCTCTTTTTCATAGCTCAATACAGAGGATGTAGCATTAATTGCCACTTTTGAGGAGGTCCTCTCTTTGTTTTCTTTCCATCTCTTTCATCTCATTCTTTTTTAAACCTGGAAGTAAGAAAGGAAGTGCTCTCCCCTGAACATCCCATCTTCAAAGCCCAACTTGTGGGAGTTCAAGAGCTGGTACAATGAGTCTCATTGTCCTTTGCTGATGTGGAGAAGCCATCAAGAAGACACAAAGGCAGGCTGGAGACACTGTCCGGTCCATCATGAAACCATAGAACAGGTCAACAAAAGCAACCCTCCAAAAGTCCAAACATTGGGAGTGGAGGGGTCCCTGCTGGACACTGAATGTGATGTATTGTCCAGGAGTGGCCAGCTATGTCAAAGGGATCAAACAAACCTGATTCTAAAGAGGGGAGTGTGGGGAGGGGGAGGCATATACACATAACATACGCACAAAAAAGCTGCTTATCTCCTTTTCCTATCTCATGGGCTTTGCTACCTGCTAGCATTCGCTTCCCAGCAAGCCAATCAGAGCAAGCCTTCTGTCCCCTCGACTGAAGTCACTTATATATATGACTCACTGGGCTCTGCTGAGCACAGAGCTCTTTCCTTGAGAGAAGCTTTCTGCCTCCTGTCACTTTCTGCAGCTCACTCACCTCCCAGAATCAGTCCCTTTCTCCTCTCCTTCAGAGCGAAGGTAAGCCTTATTCCCAACACAATTGTGCTCTTTGTTCAAGGTGGGCATAGGGAGGGGGGGTGAAGAGGGAGATTTTGCACTCCTGAGCTTACAAATACCACTGGGTGTGAACTTAAATATTATGAGACCTTATTTATTTATTTTTAAAAAAACACACACAACCGTTTCCTTCTTTTTACAATGCAATTTTACCCAGGAATTGCTCAGCCATGATTTAGGAAGAAAAATATGGCAAGATGCATGTGTGTGAAAGTTCAGTCTTATAGAAGCAAAGTCCTTTCTATCCAGTGAGCACCCTGAAAATTTGCCTGATGGCAGAGGGGTGTATTCCTAAATTGTGATCAGCCAACTCCGCTCAACAAAAAGCCCTGGGTTTTTATACCTAAGCATTTCAAATAACAGGTCCTTGCTTCCAAATTCTTTTACAGCTTGAGCACTGAAGAGGAGGAGAGGTCAGGAGAATACCCCCAGAGAGGGAACAATTTGTATATCCATACACATATTATTGAGGAAGAGGGATCCTTTCTTCATCTGAGGGTGACCGTTTGAGACTTGGAAGTTCCAAGGTCAAAGCTTTTACCTGCCGCAGATAAGCAGATATGTAGGTTTTGAGTGTGACTTTGGGCAGGCTTTTAAATGAACCCGTGCTTCTGCTTTTCCCCACATAAAAGAAAAAGAGATATTGTAGCTCTGCACTTTCTTAGGTTTGGAGAAAAGGGGAGTTGTCAGAAACTTGGCTGCTGTGCTAGCAGGTGCCAGACTGTAAGGGCAGAGGAGAGATTACCAGCTGGTCAGGACCCTTGGTGTCTCATTAGTTCATTGCTCTGATCCAACAATTTAGATCCACAACTGGACCACCTTTCTGTTTGCACAAAGAGTGTTGTAATAAATGTGTGTGTGCATGCAAGTGGTGGAGAAAGTCTAGTTTCTCTTTTTGTCTACACACACAAACAAACAATAGGCACCGATAAATTTACAGTGCTGTTTCTGGGAAGGGGGATTCTCAGCTGCAACAACTTTCTGCTGAGTTTGTGCTTCTCTAGACTGGTGGCACTGGGTTGTATCCCTTGGAATATCAACCTGTCGGCCGCTGTAATCTACTTCTAATTTATCAAGGGCTTGTGCACTGATGGTGTTTCATCTTGCGGCTGCTGTTCCAGGAGGCAATTTCTGCCATTTATCTCTAGGTAGTGGCAAGCCTGTTCCTAAGAAGTAGGTAGAAGCAATTTCCTACTCAAGTGGAGAGTAATTGTAGCCTCTCTCTACTGTAATTGCAGCGGCAGCTTGCTACTTTCCTGGGTTTAATGAAGAGCAAAGAGCTCAAAAGGAGTAGAGAGGAACTACAAGTGATTTGGGCTTTGCCACCCCACATTTCTGGGTCTTATCTAAAGGAGCAAGGTGTATATTCTCTTAATATAGGGAGAGAATGTGTCTTTCCCCCTACCTTCAGATGAGACACAGAACCCAAAGGGAGGAATTCCAACCCACATGCTAATGCTTTACATCCAAAGCAGTCCTAAGACTCAAGCAAGATGTGATAGGTAGCAGAGACATGTGAATACATCCCTGCTTCTAGAAACTCTTTAAACAGTAGTTGCAAATTAAATTTGGGACTGCAGCACAGGAATGGAGGACCATTTCCCCAAGGAAACTCCTCTTCAATTACTTTTCTTCTCCTGGCACAAACTACCATATATATGCACATGCCAGAAGAACATAGTGTTTGCACAAGCTGTGAGATGTGCGCAACAAGCACTACCTGATTAGCATGTTTGTTTAAAAGTGATATAGGAGCTGAATGAATGACCTGGACAAGAGGGTAGTGGTGGCATAAAGCAGTAATGCAGCCATGTTTTGCGGTGTGGTCAACTGAGATCAAAGCATGCAGTGATACCATCAGTATGTACACAGAGGAATCAAAAGCAACTATACCTCAAACCACTCAATCACATTTTGCATTTTTCACTAATTTGGCCTGTGTAGGTCACATTCAGTTTCCATCGCTGCTAGAATGAAACACATATAATATCAATGGGTTATGCTAACTATGGGACAGCAGTCTAGTCTCTCTATTTCTGAATAGGAAAATGAAATATGTGAATACGCTGTGATGCCTAAACTATCTCAAGATATAAATGCGATAAACAACACAAGCTTTTGCAATAAGTTTGTTTGAATTTGGTTTTAATTTACCGAACACTGGAAAAGTAAAGCATCTTCAGATATGGCACATGTCATAATTTGCTGTGATCATTAGGCTGCTGTATTTAATTTTATTTAAAGTGTTACAGTGTATGATTGCCATACAGATACTTATATGCATTTAAATTATAAAGATTGTTAAATTTTTTAGCAAAATAACTTGAAGGGGTGGGAAATGTATGTTCGGGGCTGAAATTATATAGTGTTAACCGACTTGAGCAAAACATGGGGAGTTTCATGGGGATTGTCTACATTGTCATTGAGTTTTGGATGGAGACAATTTTATTATAAGATGTTTGGTTATTGATAGGAAGCAGGGAATGTGAGGAGATGCTGCTGCGATAGCGATGCCCCTGGGCAGGATTGAAGAACCTTTTCAGCTTGAGGGCCACATTCCCTCACAGGAAAGCTTCTAGGGGCCACAAGGCAGTAGTGTGTGTGGCCAGAATCAAACATGGGCAGAGCAACAGGTAGGAAACCTACCTGTGCATAACAGGCTACATTCCATCTCTGCAAAAGTCAGAGGCTTTTGCCCCCACGCCTCTGTATCCAGACAAGCAAGAGGTTTTATCCCAGTTCAAGGACACTTTCCAGCCAGGCAAAAGTCCTGGGGAGATGGGAGATGTCCGGGGAGTGTGGCCAAAGGGGAGTCGCAAGGGGCAGCTACAGAGACCTGGAAGGTTGCATTCAGCTCCTGGGACTGAGGTTCCCCACTCCTGCCCAGGGTTAAGCCTATCCAAGTGACGAAACAGTCTCATGGGCGGACAGAGTAGATGACCTGAACATGTTTGTTGTTCTCTAATGCTTCGTACTCTAGCAGGGAGGGAGGGAGGGGGAGAGCAGGAAGGAGAGAGTGCATTAGAGCTCCCAGCAGGCAGCCTGCATAAGAGCGTTCTCAGGTGCAAAAGGAATGCCTCAGTCTGCAAACTTACTAATTCCCTAAGACGTTTCATTGGCCGTGTGCTTTTTTTCAAAGGGCAATAGCAGTCGGAATGTCAGGGAAACATTTGGCAAGCAAGTGATAACTAGTTCAAGGAAATGTTATCAACCAGGCCTCTTTGTTTTCAGCCCGCAGTTCTAAATATTCACTAGGAAGGAAGTCTCTGGATTTATTTACAAATACATTCAGGATCCCTTGGACTGAAAACATTATTTCGTTTGTCACTCGTCCTCCAAAATTCTGAGACAGCATTTAGGGAGATCAGGGTTTCCCCCTGCTGTTTTGTCTGCTTCTGTCAAACGTGTACCTTATTATGACTGTATGTGATTTGACCTCTGGATTTGACCTCCCCCATACCCTGAGCTTATCTATGGTGGTGGTGGCAGTGCTCTGATCTGTGGCAGGTGGCTGCAAATCAGCGGCCATTTTAATCACCCACAATGACCTGACATGGCATCCTCTGGAGCATTGTGGGAAATTTAAAGCGGAAGCTTGGTAATACTGGTGCTGAGGCTGACACAGAGTTGGCATCAATGTTGGTGGGCCCTGCTGGGTGTTGGCACCAGAACAACTGATGCCAGGCCTGACTAAGGCAGCTATTTATAGTTGAATGAACTTATAGCCAAAGTATGCATAACAATGACAAAGGCTTTGGTTGCTATTTTAAAAGGAAGCTGCGTTGAACAGAGTCAGGTCAATGGTCCACCTAGTTATCCACCAACTGGCAGCTGCCCTCCAGAGCTTTCCCACCCCAACCCCAAAACACCAGGGATTAAACCTGGACCTTCTGAACACCAAGCAAGTGCCCCATCACTGATCTACAGCCCTTGCCTAGGAAGTAATGGGCATTTTTGTTATTCTGAAGCATCAAAAAAGTAAGCACAAGCCCTTATAATAGACTGCTTCCCTGGCATGTAATCCGCAACATGCAAAAATAATGAATTCAGCCTTACTGAATATCTTCTTTCAATGGAACCTCTTTGTTTCTGTGTTGAAATCTAAACTGGCACCCCAGGTAAAACCATGAAAAGGCTTTGTCCATAAGGAAGCAGAGGTGGCAAACATTTCGAAAGATCCACTGCACCTAAGCCCCAATTCACCTGAAGTTAGTTGTATGACTAAGTTCCATTGAAAACAACTAGAGACCTGTAATCAGTTATTTGGCTAGTAAATTGCAGCACCTATGTACACGCCCCTTCGCTGTTGACACCCAATCAGAGCGCACTGGGAGGGTTTCTCTGTCTCGTCTCCTTTCTGTCACCTGTTTCCTACTCTCTTGGGTACCTCCTGTGCCCTTTCTTTATGATGCATGCACTGTTGTTGACAGGGTTTCAGTGCCACAAGAATGACAAAGTTAGGATGGAACTTGAACTCACATCATGACTAACGTTTGCAATGGTTTCATTGGGACTTTTGCTAGATTGGGATGACGTGATGTAAACTATTGATTCAGGTCTGAGAATAGTTCGGCACTGAGTGCTTATTTTAAAAAGAAAAGAAAAAGACGATCAGCATCATATGAAAAAGGAAACATGGCAGTTACATCTGTAGTGTTAATTTAAAGCACTCTTATACCACTTTGATGTCATGGCTGCACCCACCCCCCAGTCCTGGGAATTGTAGTTTGTTATGGATGCTTCAAATCATAATTCTGTGAGAGGTAAATGATAGTTCCCAGGATTCTTTGGGGCGAAGTGGTATAAATGTGCTTTAATGGGATGGTGTGAATATGGCCGGTGTTTCAAAGGTGAACAAAAATAAGGATTTAATGGTCCAAAGTGTTTGGAATATATTCTTCCTCAGCAGCAAGCAAGTGCACAATACTGTCGCATCAATAATGGCCATTCATTTTGTCACA